GATTGGCTGTGCAGATCAAAAGGCATCCTATTTCTGACTGAAATGTTGAACAGGCACTATTAGTGTTATATATAACCCCACTCCCTGACATTTTCATCATTGGCTTCACCTCCTGTGGCACATTTTACAGCTGGCTCCACCTCCTCTGGCAGCCATTTTGTTCTTGCGCCAGCTGCCCTATGTCAGAATCCCAGAGATCACCACAGGCTCAAAAAGGTCAGGGATCCCTGCGTTATGGGAAAACCAGTCCAGTTGGAAACTGCGGAATGCATTCCGGATCTGGGTGCGCAAGGCTGTCGCTCTAAGTCCGCTTACCCAAAACTTAGCAGCATTAAGAAGAAGAAGAGATTGGATTTATACCCTGCCCTTCACTACCCAAAGGAGCCTCAGAGCGGCTTACAAACCCCTTTCCCTTCCTCTCCCCACAACAGACATCCTGTGAGGTAGGTGGGGCTGAGAGGGCTCTGACAGAAACTGCTCGTGAGAGGACAGCTCTGAGGGAACTTGTGACTGACCCAAGGTCACACCAGCAGCTGCATGTGGAGGAGTGGGGAATTGAACCCAGTTCTCCCAGATTAGAGTCTGCGCTCTTCACCACTACACCAAACTGGCTCAGTTTAAGACCAGTTCATTTTTGATTTCTTGGCTGTATGTCAGGGGTGGCCAAACTCGGGAGCCGTATGTGGCTCTTTCACACACATTGTGCGGCTCCCGGCAGGGTGGCCGGGGAAGCTAAATATCAAAAGCAAGCAAATATCATTGGGCAAATAACTCTCATTATCAATATTTACTTTTACCCCTTTTGTTATTATTTTCCACAGTCTCGTTCAATGTTAATGAAAAGCAAATCTGCATATTTCCCAGAAAAAACGTGTAATATTTGTTCATGTCTTGTGGCTCTCAAACATCTGATGTTGTGGCCACCCCTTTATTAAGCAAGTTTGGCCACCTACCCCTGGAGAAAAGAGGTGCCTCCGTCTGACTGGCTTTCCCCTTTCCTGCTACCTCAGGCAGCTACTTTTCCCAAACATTTGGTAGGGGGAGAAGTAGGGGCGCGTCAGCGGTGTGAAGTAACAGAAGGCAAAACACCTGACTTTGGGATGCCCCTCCAGTTTGGTGTAGTGGTTAAGTGCGCGGACTCTAATCTGGGAGAACCGGCTTTGATTCCCCCCTCCTCCCCTTGCAGCTGCTGGATGACCTTGGGCAAGCCATAGTTCTGTCAGAGGTGTTCTTGAAAAAGAGCAGTTTCCTGTCAGAGCTCTCTCCGCCCCACCCACCTCACAGGGTGTCTGTTGTGGGGAGGGGAAGGGAAAGGAGTTTGTAAGCCGCTCTGAGACTCCTTCGGGTAGTGAAGGGCGGGGTATAAATCCAATCTCCTCCTCCTCCTCCTCCTCCTCCTCATCCCACCCTTCTCAGTCTACACCCTCAAAGTATCCTAGTATTGCAAATGAAGAGAAGAGAAGAAGAGATTGGATTTATACCCTGTCAGTTTGGTGTAGTGGTTAAGTGCACGGACTCCAATCTGGGAGAACCGGGGTTGATTTCCCCATTCCTCCCCTTGCAGCTGCTGGATGACCTTGGGCAAGCCACAGTTCTGAGAAGAGCTGTTCTCTCAAGGGCAGTTCCTGAAAGAGTTCTCTCAGCCCCACCCGCCTCACAGGGTGCCTGTTGTGGGGAGGGGAAGGGAAAGGAGTTTGTAAGCCGCTCTGAGACTCCTTTGGGTAGTGAAGGGCGGGGTATACATCCAGTCTCCTTTTCTTCCTGTTCCTCTTCTTCCTTTTCTTCTCCTGTCAAGAAGGACATATGCAGATGGGCAATTCCAGACACTGAATACTACCGCCTCCCTCCCCTCCCTCTGTCTCTCCATAAGGCCTCTTTGCCTACAGCTGTGGCTGCCTGGTCATTGTGGAAGACCTTCACTCCGGATCGCAGCAGCACTGGCTCGGGCACCCGGAAGAGATTTCGACCTTAGCTGTCAGCCACGACGCCCAGGTACCGGCGCCTCTTCCTGTCCTCTGTCGGGGGGAGAGGGAACCCCGGCCAGGTGACCTTTTGGGCCGCCGATCACAAACAACATTTATTTCTATATAAGCTTTCTCGGACAGCTAGATTTGAGTCCCGTGGCACCGTAGAGACCAACGAGATTTTGGGGGTATGAGCTTTGACTCTTGGAAGCTTGTACCCCCCCAAATCTAACTGGTCTCTAAGCTGCAACTGGACTTGAATGGAGCTGTCCTACGGCAGACCAACTATGTCGTCTCTATAGAGGCGAAAGGCCCGTCTGCCTAGACTTCTCAGTCACATTTCTGCCGATGCCGAGGTCGATCCTTCTTAACGAGCCGCATCCCAGTTTCTTGCTGAGCCCCGACCCGTGACCGTGAACTCCTTCCCCCAGGTTGTCGCTTCCGCCTCCGGCCGTGGCCTCGGGGACTCGCGCTGCCAAGTCCGCATCTGGGACGTGCCGAGCAGGGCCTGCCGGAAAGTGCTGTTCCATCACGACACCCAAGTCCAGGCCATGGCGTACTCCTGGGACGACCGCTTCCTCATCACGCTCGGTGGGTTCAGCCGGTCGTGCCGGGCGGGCTGCCTGCCAAGAGCCGAAACATCCTGGGGTTTTTGCTTTTTGCGGGGGGGGGGGAGGAAACTCCCTCTGGGGGCTGGAGCGAAGCAGGCACATTAGTCACCTCTGCAGAAAGCCTGGCTCTGCACTTTGCAGCGCATTTAATTTGTACAATTAAATTGGATTTAGGTTGCAGCGGCTTTAATTCGCGGTGGGAGCTGGACACAAGGCAATCCATCTCTCCCTGCCCCCCCCCCCCCTTCTGAAAATAGGGTGAAGGCTGAAAATCGATTTGGTGTCAGGGACCGTCTGCATCTGCCAGCCTCCTTCCCCGCAGTGGGCAGTCATAAGAACATAAGAGAAGCCATGTTGGATCAGGCCAATGGCCCATCCAGTCCAACACTTGGTGTCACATAGGGGCCAAAACCCAGGGGCCGTCAGGAGGTCCACCAGCGGGGCCAGAACTCCAGAAGCCCTCCCACTGTTGCCCCCCCCCCAAGTACCAAGAATACAGAGCCTCACTGCCCCAGACGTAAGAACATAAGAGAAGCCATGTTGGATCAGGCCAATGGCCCATCCAGTCCAACACTCTGTCACACAGTGGCCAAAACACAGGGGCCATCAGGAGGTCCACCAGCGGGGCCAGAACTCCAGAATCCCTCCCACTGCTGGCCCAGCAGCCGCAGTGGCTACTCCTGCCCAGCAACTCCCCAAAGCCCAACAGACATTGGGAACACGGTACAGAACAGAAGATACAAGGAGACTCCCTGAACTCGTATTGTGTTCAGTGCGGGGGCTTTTGTTCTACAGCTCTTAAGGGGTCAGGGGACTTGGAGGTTGCTTCCCCCTCTGTGACCACCTCCCCCCACTGTTTACACTGCACGGATCAGGGCCTGCTCTTCTTGCTTCTGGAATCTGAAGAGTCAACATGGATTGTAATTGGCCCTGGGTGGGGGAGAAGAAGATTTGGAGTGGCACTTTGCAGGGCTTTATTTATTTTATTTTATTTTTTAAAGAGGTGGTGTTGTTTTTTAAAGAGGTGCCGGAACTTTCAAGAGGGAAATGAAGTTTTCAATCTGTATACTGAAAACTCACAAACTTTTAAACCTTTAAAAAAAAAAAAAATTGTCGGAGAGGTTCCAGAACTCCATTCTGGAGCGTGTGTCCCCGCCCCCCGAAAAAAAGCCCCGGTGCTCTGTCTTTTCAGAGGTGGTGTACAATGTTCCCTCTAAGCTGAGTGAGTGTGAGCCAGCTCACAGTTTTTTAGCCTCCAGCTCACAGATTTTTGTCTTCGCTCAGGAAGGGATGGGCTCCAGAGCAAACTGATTTACGCAGCAGCCAAATCGCTTGCTCACAGCTTTAATGTCCATAGCTCACAAAGTAGAATTTTTGCTCACAAGACTCCACAGCTTAGAGGGAGGCATTGGTGGTGTAGTGAAACGGCTTTGACTGGGGCAGGAGGGTTAGGTCTTTGGAATGCTCCCTGGAATGTTTCCAGAAGCTGTCCCCAAACGGCTTCTCTCCCTGTCGCCCAGGGGACTACGCAGACCGGGTCATGGCCCTCTGGAACGCCCACACCTACGAGCTGATGACGTCCACCCGCTTCTCTGAGCCCGTCCACGAAGTGGCCTTCAGTCCGCTTCTGGCGGGGCACCTGGCCTGCGTGGGGAAAGGAGCCATGACTTTCTGGCTTATGGAACAGCAGGGAACGGACACCAGCCTGAAGGTACTCCTTCCCTCTGCGTCGGGCTTTTGATACCTTGTGACAGGGGTCCCCAACCTTTTTGCCACTTTGGGGTAGTGGTTTAAGAGTGGCAGACTCAAATCTGGGAGAACCGGGGTTTGATTCCCCACTTCTCCACATGCAGCTGCTGGTGTGACCTTGGGTCAGTCACATGATCCTTCAGAGCTGTTCTCTCACGAGCAGTTCTCGAAAGAGCTCTCTCAGCCCCACTTCCCTCCCAGGGTGTCTGTTGTGGGGAGAGAAAGGGAGGGAGATTGTAAGCCACTCGTAGACTCCGAGTGAAGGGCGAGGTATAAATCCAATCTCTCCTCTTCTTCTCTCTCTTTTTGAGCCTGTGGGCACCTTTGGAAATTGGAGACAGCATAGTGGGCACACCCAGAAAATGGCTACTCTGGGAGGCGGAGCCAGCCACAAAATGTCTGCTCCGGGAGGCGGAACCAACCACAAAATGGCTGCTCCGGGAGGCGGAGCCAGCCACAAAATGGCTGCTGCAGCTTTCCTTGTGCCACACTGTGAAGATTCTTGTGTTTTGGTGGCAGCTGCTTGCCAAAGCAAAGTTTTAAAAAATCTGCGCAGCCCATCAGAAGTTTGCTGGGCGAAATCCCAACCTACTTTCTAAAGACTCCTGCTGGGTGCAATGACTGTGCCGTGGCCTCCACAGTCAGCACCTTGGGGACCCCCACCTTACGAGATCCAGGCAGGTAGTCCAAACCAAGCCCGGGCGTCCAGCCTTGCAGGAGGGCACGGGGATGCTGCTGCTTTGGATGGAAGCGCCTGCTGACGCCTCTCTCCTTCCGGCCTCAGGTTCACAGGGTCCCCGTCCCCGAGGCCGTCGGGCCAGTGGAGCTGACCTCGCTCTGCTACAGCGCCGGCTGCCTTCTGTACAGCGGGACCAGCTCTGGGCAAATCTGCGCCTGGGACACGGAGACCGACCGCTGCTTCATGACCTGGGAGGCCGACGAGGGGGAGATCGGTGAGCGCTCATCCCGCAGGACCCGTCGTGCAGAGGGGAGAAGGGCCTCGGTCCAAACCCCAGCTCTGTTTTGGCTCACGTGCTGGAACCAGTGTTCCCTCTAAGCTGAGTTAGTGTGAGCTAGCTCACAGGTTTTTAGCCTCTGGCTCACACATTTTTGTCTCAGCTCAGGAAGGATAGCTCCAGAGCAAGCTAACGTATGCAGGAGCCAAATGGCTCGCTCACAAGTTTCATGCCAGGAGCTCACAAAGTAGGATTTTTGCTCACAAGACTCCACAGCTTAGAGCGAACATTGGCTGGAACTGCTGAGCTGTCGGGACTTTCCGGCCCAGGGATGCTACAGTGGGCGGCCGTTTGTGCTTCACTACTGTTATTCTCCCCCCCGCCCTCCATTTGATGTAGTAGTGCTTGTTTTTTTAAAAAAATATATTTTAATGAATCATAGAATTATAAGGGACCTCCAGGGTCATCTAGTCCAACCCCCTGTACAGTGCAGGAAATTCACAAATGCCTCCCCCCCCCC